ATGGCCTGGCCTGCATTTGGCCTGCCCTGGCCTGGCCTGTTTTCCAAAAATAACAGGCTCAGGCCTGTTTAGTTAAACAGGCCAGGCTTAGGCTTTCTAAAAAGCCTGTTAAGCCTATTAGGCTGGCCTGGGCCTGTTAAGAATTTATAATTATAATATATAAAAAATTAATTAATGCTATTATTGTTAATATGTTTTTTTAATTTATTTTTTAATTTAATATATAGTTAATAGCTTAATCTTTTCTTAGATTTTGAAATTTAGATGACAAGTGAGATAAAAATATAATTTAAAATAATAATATTAATAAATAATGTGATTTTTAAATCTTAAAAATATAAAAAAAATAGGAAAGAAAATTTTGTTTCAAGAATGATAAATTAACTAACTTACGTATTATGTTAATTTAAGTATGATATCCTCTTTATTCATTATAAAATTATTATTTTTTCCTCTTATTTATTTGTCTTAATTTTAATTTTTTGTGTGTACTTAAACGTAGTCTTATTCCAAATTTTAACATATAATTACAATTAGTTTTCAATAACATTCTTATAAATTATAATTAAGATTTAAAATAGTAGTTATGATACTAAAATTTAAATAAAAGACAAGACTAAAAATTTAATTATTATGCACGTTTTTTTAATCTTAGCTTTTTTAAAAAATAATTATTATAATTTGAATTTTTAAAATACAGGCCTTTTAACAGGCTTCAGGCCAGGCCAGGCCTTTACACAGGCCAGGCTCAGGCTGAAAAATAAGCCTGTAACAGGCCACAGGCCAGACTCAGGCCAATAGGCTCCAAAACAGGCCTGGCCTGTTAAGAGCAAAGTCTGGCCTGGTCTGACCTGTTTCCACCCTTACCTACACTAATGGAGCCTGTCATCACTTCGTTTTTTGATGAGCGAAGTAAAAGTAAAGGCTGGGTGAAGGAATGGTTTTCCTCTTCCTGGCCTTTGTTAGTGAATATTAAGAATGAGGTGTCCAGAACAAAATATTGATAATTCAATTATTAGGGGAAATGTCAGGCCAAGTCAAATTTTTTAATGATTCTCAAATATTAATTCGTAACTTGGGGTCAACAATTAATTATAAATTAAACATGCCATTTTTGACTGGGAACACTTAAAAATTCTTGCTCATCCTATCATCTCAATAATGACTGCACAGGAAAGGGCCAGAACAGCTCAAGTTTTTGGTAAGATAGAGACGGACGAATAAATAAATAAATATATATAAAATAAAAAGATACGAATGGCATGTTAATTTGAAATTATATCTAAATTCAATATTTTTGGGTTGGTGACCAAAAAGTTCAAAAATTTTTTTTGGGGACTTGCTAAATACCTGACCCAAAACCCAACTGATGTTCAAGAGAAACACACGGGTTATTATTTGCAGGTAAGGACCGAAAAGCAAAATTGGATTATTTTTTCTTTTTTTTCAATGAAGCAATGCGCAAACGGTTGTGAGAAGATGTTACATTGTCTCTTTTTTACTCCAACTCACAAGTCCATTCCACTTACCATTTCTCTGCACAATTATTGTATATATCCGATAAACTAATTGATCGTTTGTTTTATTTACAGCATTTTATTGAGTTGGTAATAAAATTTAATATTAACATCAATAATCAAAATAGGAACGTCTAAATTCGTTTCCTGCGAGTAGAATATTACCTTCAATCATTAATATAAAACTCGTTTGATTTTATTTTGATTCTAATATAAGACCTTAATCAATTTCATCTATCGTATTTATTCTTTTTTTTCATGATAGTTCTTATAGTAATAATAATTCTAATTAATACACTTAATTAAGAAGAATATTTGCAAAAAGACAATACTTATTTATTATAAATATTTAATTTAACTATTTTTTTAATTTATTTAAATTAATCAATTAGTTTTTATATTAAATACTGAAGGTAATATAAATAATGGCCAGGTTTGGATTGGATTAGATGCTGGCTTAACTGTTAATGCTAATGTCACGTAAAAACGTGAAGTTAGTTTGGTGTGTAGTGATGGGATATTATGACACTCTAAGGCTTTTGGGGCCATGAAGCAACCAGGTGGGAATGATGACAAAAATAAATATTAAAATATATATATTAAAAAAAAAAAAAGCAGAGTAGTCGTTTTGAGAGGGCAAGTCAAATATGGGGAGAGTTTGACTGGTCAACCCTCATCATTCATGCATCCTCCAATTAAATTTAGCGGCGTTGCTTTTCGGCCCCCCCTCTCTCTGTTTTTCTTTCTTTTTCACCTTTTTTTTTCCCGTTAAGCTTAAAATCGTACTTTCTCCAAAATACCCTTTTGCCCCGTCCCTATATTGTCTCATTCGTATGTCCCCAGCTCCCAAGGGCAGAGGCTAGTGACAGTGACACTAACTAGCTCCCCCCCCCCATCCACGGGCAATTATATATTACTTTTTTAATTTTTAATAAAATTATGTACATTTTTATTTCCATTCTTTTCATTAAAATATCTTCAGTTAAAACAACACGTACTTGAATTAGTTGATTTTATTTAAAAAATATAATTTAAGTGAAATGAAATATGTATTTATAACTAATAATCCATGACCTGATATAATTTACAAGCTCTCTCTTGTCCGCATGAGATCTTCTCTAATGGAACTGTGTCTTTTTATTCCCCGTTTTTATAGTAAAATATATTAAGAGATTGGATTCAATCAGCCAGAACATGTGTGCATTTTTTTTTTTGCCAACAGAACATGTGTGCATTAAAAAAACATACTTTTACACTGCGTGTATGAAGTACAATTTTTTCTAAAATATTTATTTAGTCATTCGCATTAAAAATATTGACAATTAGTTAAAATCTGCTCTTGACATGTGCAGACAATTATGATAATATATCCAAAAACTTATAATTTTTTGAAATAAAATAAATTAAAATATTATATTTAAAAATCAAAATCAATTACTCAACTAGTTTTCATATTTAAAATCAAAGTGGGTAATGTTTTTGACACAAGAATTCACGCGTATGAACCTATAAACCTGTCAAGATTTTTAAAACAAAAAAAGAAAAGAAAGAATCCCAAAAAAACACATTTAAATTCTAAAATTTTAAATCAGTCTTGTTCGTCACACTTTAATAACAGTTGACAATATTTAAAAAGTAAATAATAACATATTTTTAATCCTTTCTCGTTTAGAATTTTCAAATTTTAGAGGAATTTTTTTGAGGATTATCCCAAAAAAATGTATAGAATTTTAAAGATATCTTTGAAGACTGCACGTGCAAAATTTGCAAGGCAGGTTGCGACGCGGATGAATAATTCTAAAATTCTCATTCGTCTCTACATAGTAAACTAAAATTAGTTATTACCTTTGACCAGTGTGAACCCCCGAAGTCCAAATATGCCGGCCGCATCAAAAATAAGAGGGATCCCTTGTACTCGCCAACCACCACTTGGTGAATCGGACGTGTCTTGTGACCTAAGAAAACAAAACGAAATGGGGAAACTAAATCTTGACCAGAAACAATGAATTGACTCGGAAAAAAGTTAATATCTTATCTCAAAACATCACGAGAGAAGGACTTCATAGTGTGTGTTTGCTGTGTCTGCGTTTAATTAATAATGCCACTGTCTTTTGCTGTCTCTGAACAACCCCAAATAAAAATAAATAGTAGTACTAAACAAGATAGTAGTCGTATACTTCTCCCGTCCCTTATTATAAGATTTGATTTTTTAAATGGATTTGTCTTTTTTATAAGATTCTCTTTGAGTTTGTCTAAGTATTTAATGTACTATTACCTATTTTATCTATAATTTAATACGTTTAATACATTATCTTTCTTCATCTATCTTATCATTACTCTCTCATATTTACCTATTTATAGATAGGGGTATGTTTGAAAAAAAATTACATTTGCTATATATTAATCGTTTTTAATTCATTTTAACTGTTTTCTTAAATCGTACAATTTAGTTCAAAAGATTTTATAATAAGGGACAGAAGGAGTACATCCTCATAAAATTTATAACAGTTACGGGGAATATATATATATATATATAATTTATCCTCTCATAAATGTTTTCATGCTGTCTTAGCTGGATAAATGTTCAAAACACTAGGGAATCATAATAGAAATAGCGAGGCACGTGTTGTGATTAAAGGAAATTCATGCAAATTAAACACAGAAGAAGAAAATGTTCCAACCAAGAAAAAAAAAGGAAAAGGAAAAGGAACTATTTTTTGTTTGTTGCCAACAAAAGGAAAAGAAACTAAAACTCAGGCCTTGCTTATACTTTAGACTAAAGTCAATTCAGCAACATATAACTGAATTTGACGTAAATCTACCCCCCAAAAAAAAGGCTTCCAGAAACGTGACAGTCAAAATAATGAATGCATCAACCTTCCTGGCGACGTGCTTGTTCTTTATTATCATTATTATTATTTTCTTCAAAAAAAAAACTCTGGCTTATGATTACTACCCAATGCTGGCCAAAAAAAGCAAAGAAAAAAGACGGATACCCCACTGACGAGTCTAGGAATGCTATATAGACGGAGAACAGAGATAAGGAGGTATTTAGATAAAAACCAAATCATGGTTTCAAAAGTATTTTTATGGTTTACGAAGTAAATATGTGAAGAAATTTGTTTCGTTTTGTAAAAAAATACTTCTGAAACTATAGTTTGAAGGTTGCCAAACACCCTCCAAAATATAGATTCAGATCAATTATTATGGGGAAAAAAAGTGTCTAGAATGCATGGACAATTACAAAGTTAAAGCTGAAAATACGATAAAATTCAAAATTGGTGAATATATACCTGTGAACACTCGGACGTTAAAACGTGGTCTTAAAAGTGCGGGGTTCGGCCGGCTGCCATGCTGCACTTGGTCGTTGAACAAACTTTTCAAAGGGCATTACGGTAATTAAACTATGTCCAGGTCAGGCAACGAACCAGCTTCATTTATCTCATCAGATGTTGGAAGAAGCTTTTATTTGTTGATTGTTGAACTGGGATTTGGATATGTACAATACAAATTTGGAAAAGCAGCTTCTTTTTAAATTTGACTTTCTCAGAGACGGAGAAAGAAAATCTTGAGCTCTAGGAAGAAAATAAATTCAGAGCAAGGGACAGAAGATACAGTTTGACCATCTCTTCTGTTCCCTCTGCTTTCATCCTTGGTGGCTCACGCGCTTTATTAATTTTGATCCCTCTTTTTCCTTCCCAAAGCCCTCCGCCCTCCTTAAATCATCTGTCACTCTTCTTTGCATCTCTGGCCATTTGCTTATTTATCTTTCTTTATTGAAATTCTCAATTTTTCTTCCATTTTCAGTGTATTCATTGGGGAAAACGAAATTTCTCTTGGAGAATTCCCTGCTGTGATTATTTTCAACACAATTATTACTTTTTTGGGGAAACGTCTGGGATTTTGTAGGGTTAAAGCTAGATCTTGAATTGAGATCGCCCATCTGTTAAGTCGCTCACAGAGGTCAGATTTGAATGCATTTGACCTCTATTTGGCTCTGAGCCTCTTGTGCCTCTCAGGTTTGTTATCTTTGAAAATTCAAATTCATCGGAGTTTAGGCCTCTTGAATCATGGGTAATTGTTGTGTAACTCCGTCCGGACCTCGTGAGACGAAGAAGAAGGGGAAGAAGAAGAAGGAAAACCCATTTGCCAGCGACGACGTAAACTACCATGGCAACGGTGGAAGCAAGCTCTCCGTTTTGAGCGATCCGACGGGTCGCGAAATCGAGCGCAAATACGAGCTGGGTCGCGAGCTTGGAAGGGGAGAATTCGGAATAACCTACCTGTGTACCGATAGAGAGACGGGTGAAGTTTTAGCTTGCAAATCGATATCGAAGAAGAAGCTGAGAACAGCCATAGATATCGAGGACGTGAGGAGAGAAGTTGAGATTATGAAGCATTTACCGAAGCATCCCAATATCGTGACCTTAAAGGGCACCTATGAAGACGACAATGCCGTTCATCTGGTGATGGAATTGTGCGAAGGAGGAGAATTGTTCGATCGGATTGTTGCGCGTGGGCACTACACAGAACGCGCCGCCGCAGTGGTCACCCGGACGATTGTCGAAGTTGTGCAGGTTAGAAATTCTGAATTCCTAAGTGTTCCTATTCTTGCTTTTTGGGCTATCTCTTAGATCTGTTTGTACATATGAAATTTTAAATGATTGTTTTGGTTTATCCAAGCGTTGAGTTGTTTTAAAGCGGAGGAATTTATTCGGTATGTTTCAGAATCATATTTTTTTGGTTACACAGAAATAGCATTAAAAAGATGCTTTAGGAGATTCCAATCTTACCGGAAATGGGAAGCCTTTGGAAATGGAGAGCCCTCTGAACCTGCGGGAACTATATATATTGAGCTGATTGCTTTTTTTCCCCTTTTCCTTTTCTTGTTAATAATTGAGCTTATTACTTGGATACTAATGCTCATAAAACTAGACTTCTATGAGCATTCTTCGTTGGTTTCGTTATGTATAGGCTGGGGTAGGTTCATTATGACCATTATTTGCTGTATAACTGTGTGTTGCAAATGGCATGTGCTGGTAAATGACTATTCTATAAAGAATTCGTCTATCATACCTTTTGCAAGCAAATGAAATTATTATAATCAAAGTATCGTGCTCCTTAACGTAGCTATGACAATATTTATTTGTTAAACACTTAAACTTCTGGTTCAACCAAATTTTAAACCTTTGCTGTTAAAGGCAGTTGGCCTGAGGATACTGCATTCAGAATTGACAATTTTAGGCTTATGGTCTTCAAATTGTGTATTGTCCTGAACTTTGAAATTTGGTATTGAGAAATTTCTGTTTGCAGATGTGCCACAAACATGGTGTGATGCATCGAGATCTCAAGCCTGAGAACTTTTTGTTCGGAAACAAGAAAGAAACAGCACCACTGAAGGCTATTGATTTTGGGCTGTCGGTTTTCTTTAAACCTGGTAATGCCTTTGAGTAGAAATTGAATTCATCTTTACGTTGCTTGTCTTTTATAAATCAGCTGCCTCTGTCCAGGATTCATTTACTGATGCTTGCCATTTTCTACAGGTGAAAGATTTAATGAGATAGTTGGAAGTCCTTATTACATGGCTCCTGAGGTACTAAAACGAAATTATGGCCCAGAAGTAGATATATGGAGTGCTGGAGTAATTCTATACATCCTACTTTGTGGTGTCCCGCCGTTTTGGGCAGGTTAGTTTTGTCCTGTGAATGGTGCATTTCAACTCATGACAGTTGCGTCTTTAATGGCTGAGCATTCAATTTTAAGTCGCGATGGATATACTGTTGGAAGAAAAATAAATACTTGTCTTCAAATGGCTTCAGTATGCTCAGAAAAGAGTAGCCCGTTTGTTTCCCAGCTAATAAATATATCTAGCCCATGCCATCTGCCTGTATCGTCAGAATAAAGACTAAAGACATATGCTATACCCTGGGTTCTTGGTTACATTTTCATATTGACCATTGAGCCGGGATTCATCAATGCTTTGGTCGTGTCTTGGTGTCTTGTACTCTTCGGCGTTGAGTTGAGTAATGATTTGTCATTTGAGCAAGAGATGCTGAGATCACTAACTGCATTACTGTCTGCAGCAACAGACAAATAACTGTTTTGTTTTTTTTTTTTTCCCTCCTTTGGTTATATGTTAAAGAGTTGTTCTTGTCCTGTTTGTAGGAATTAATGAATTCATCTAATAAAGGTTTTTTTCCATGTAAATATTTTTCCTTCAAGCTAATATGTCCACATTTTCTTTCTTCAAATGCAGAAACTGAACAGGGAGTTGCACAAGCAATCATAAGATCTGTTATTGATTTTAAAAGGGACCCATGGCCAAAAGTTTCTGATAATGCGAAAGACCTTGTTAAGAAAATGCTTGATCCTGACCCAAGGCGGCGGCTTTCTGCGCAGGAAGTGTTAGGTAATATGCAGTTCGTATGTACAGCTTTAGGGACATAACGAGAAGCATAGAATATGTGGCATTTCGGCTCATTGACAAGATTTAGAGAGGGGTTGGAATTGACGATTGATGTTTCTCTTTTTTATCAAATGCAGATCATCCATGGTTACTGAATGCCAAGAAAGCTCCTAATGTTTCATTAGGAGAAACTGTTAAGGCAAGGCTCAAGCAATTCTCAGTAATGAACAAGCTTAAGAAAAGAGCTCTAAGGGTAATGCCTCCGAAACTTGCTGGAAATCTATTTGGGGGTCGTCTTCTATATGTTCATACATGTGATCACGTTAATTCAAAGCCAACTGATATCTTGTATGTGGTGAAATTTCATGTGAACAGGTGATTGCAGAGCATTTGTCTGTAGAAGAAGTTGCAGGTATAAAAGAGGGATTCAAGGTGATGGATACTAGCAATAGAGGAAAAATTAACATTGATGAGCTACGACTGGGGTTGCATAAATTAGGCCATCAGATGGCTGATGCTGACGTTCAAATTCTGATGGAAGCAGTGAGTATCACTGGAATCTTCTCTACTACTGAGTTTGCAGTTGTAAACTTGTAGGTTAGAACTAGGCGCTGAAATTTGTACTTCTGTCAAGTTTGGGGGCTCTCTCCTCTCTTCTTACTTCCTCATGAGTGCTGCATTCGCCGAAGTGCATTGTAGTCCTTTGCTGGAACAAGGGGATAGTCACAATTAGACATTCTTAATTTTCCTAGACAATGTTCTATATGTTTACTTATTGTATAAGCTATGGGCCATTGAAAGATCGTCAGCTTCTAATCTTTTGGGGCTGCTTTTGCAGGGCGATACAGATAAAGACGGATACCTAGATTATGGAGAATTTGTAGCCATTTCTGTTCATCTGAGAAAGATGGGCAATGATGAGCACCTGAAGAAAGCCTTCCAATTCTTCGATCAGAACCAGAGTGGATATATAGAGATTGAGGAGCTACGCCACGCCTTAGCTGATGAAGTTGACACAAACAACGAAGAAGTCATTAGTGCGATTATGCATGATGTGGACACAGACAAGGTCAGTTTAGTTTTAAATAAAGTTTCTTTTCTTTTTCCCTTGTGGGTGGTATTTAAAATTACAAGCCAAAATTTTGCTGTCATGTCCATAAGCAAATTACTATCATAAACTAATGAATGCTTATGGGTATATAGAATTACTGATCCAGTATTCATAGAATTACCCTTTAATGTGTTGTGGTGGGGAATATGCAGGATGGACGAATAAGTTATGAGGAATTCGCTGCAATGATGAAGGCTGGCACAGATTGGAGGAAGGCATCAAGACAGTATTCACGAGAGAGGTTCAAAAGTCTAAGTCTCGAATTGATGAGGGACGGATCCTTGACATTGGACAACAACAAGCAATGACCTTACATGACTCTAGAATCAGTGGAATGGCAAAATGCCAAGTCTTCCATGTATTTATTCCTTTTTTTTAATGGTTTTGCCCCTTCCCATTTTAATTCTTTTTTTTTTCCCCCTGATTTGATTTAAATACCGTATTGGGAAACCCATGTAATAGTAAAATAGGATGTTGGCTGGAGATGTGGTGATGTCATTTGTGGGACTGATGATTATGTTCACTTTGGTTGTTGGGGAGGCATTAGGGAAAGGAGTGAATGGAGGAGGGGTCAAGTTATGATTTGTGGCTGTAAATATGTCAATGATGTTATAATTTTATCTGAGTCATCTTTGGTATCACTAGGCGACCTCTGTTTCACAAATACTCTTCTTGTCTTTAATATAAGATCTAATTATTGAGTTGATCTTAGTCTTGTATATAAGACTTACTACCTCCGGTCCTTAATATAAGACCCATTTGACTTTTTGTTTGGTCTTAATTATAAGACCCCAATCCATTTTGTCTCTCATATTTATGCATTTTTTTCCAAGATAATCTTTCTAACAATGATAGTTCTAGCCAATATACTTAATTAGCAAGGATATTTTAGGAATGACAACACTTATTTATTACAAATAACTAACTTAACTTACTTCCTTAATCTCCTCAAATAAGTCAACTGGGTCTTATAATTAGGACCGGAGGTAGTATTTATTACATTTATCAGTTTTTTTTAAATTATCCTTAATACTCTCTCAACTATAATCAAGTAAGACATGAAGGGAGGATATTAAGAAAGATGATTATGATATTTAAAAAAAAACATGTCATATTTTTTATAATTAACTAACTTATGTAACTTTTTTGATCTAATTAAATTAGTTAAATAGGTCTTATATTAAGGATATGAGTCCCCTGCGTTGTCCAAGAACATTCATTCCTTGAAACCTCGACGAGAAAACCTACACAATTCCAAGCATCACCATGACACCATCCGTGTCCGTGAGTTATTATTATTTTTAGTTTGAATCCTTTTGACTGAGGGCGCGAAGGCCGAAGGTGGGGAGATTTTGCATTTTCTTTTCTCTTCTTGTGTCAAGCGGAGATATGGGCTTTGTCCTTTCCATCCTCTTTCCAGAGATGGGGTGAGCTTGTTTAAACCAGAAGGATAAAAAATACTGAATGGGCTAATCACAAAAAGGAACACATGGGGCCAAAATATCTTAATTATCTTTGTGAGTGCCTTTTAAGTCAGAAAGCATGTTCTAGCCCTGATGAGTTTTTAGGACCTAACTTGTCTAATTTTTTTGGTTAAAAAAAGAGGAAGAATTTCAGTGTTTGCTAGAAAGTCAATTATTCAATGACCTGAAATATTTGAAAGGGAAGGAAGAAAGGAAGTCCGCATAAGAAGGTTCCACTGAAATCCACTGGTTTGTCTCTTGTTTACATTAATTAATGATTCTCCTGGAACACTGCAAATGATCTGGCATGCATCATTCTGATCACAAAGGATGTAAATGATCTTACAAGTCCCTTGACGGCTTGGACAATCATTGGCACAGAAAGGGAATGTCCACCTGCATCTGAAATAAGACCCTAATCGATGACCCAGACAGTGATGGACATGTATATGGGGTCGTTGTTCATCTTCTATTAATTATTAATTAATTAATCCATTGGATTTTTTTTTTTGAAAGTGACGCCTCTGATCCAAACAAACAAGCTGTGTCTCTGATAGGAACTTCTGAATAACCCTATCGTTGGAGAACCGCTATGCCGAAGGGACAAAAAAAAAAAAAAGGGCTCGAGTCCGAGGAAAAAGCCTGAGAGCTTTTTAAACTTATTAATCTCACTACAATTGTGAGCATTCGTTTTTGTAAAAGACTGGTGATGATTTTATATTAAAATATTATATATTTAAGTGAGAAAATATTATTGAAAATTACGTGGTAAGATACAAATTAAATGCATTTTCCAACTCACTGTGTCAGTTTTGATCAATGAATTATAATATTCATGGTTAAGAACAGGAGAACCCGCTTTGAAGTTATCAAGAAGGGAGGGTGCAAATTCGCCACTGACGGTATATTTGTTTTTAATACTCCTCCGGTCCTTAACATAGAACATAATTATTAAATTAGTTTTGATCTTAAATATAAGACCCATTTTTTATATTTATCCATTTTCTCTAAATTACCCTTATAGATACTCCCTCGACCATAATTAAATAAAAGAGGGAGAGAGGGTATTAAGAAATATGATTATGGTGTTTTAGGAAAAACGTGTCACATTTCTTATAATTAATTAGCTTACCTAACTTTCATAATTTAATTAAATTAATTAAATGAGTTTTATATTAAGGACCGGAAGAGTATTTTTACTAGTCTCATCCTTTACGTGGAAATTTTTGCCACGACGTGCATGGTACGTGCTATGGCTGCCTACGTGTCAGGGCATCAGGGGGGAGAGGGGGACCAATTCAACACAAGAGACATGAGAAAAAGACACGTGTCAGAAGAGGACAAGGCTTTCAGTCACGTGTCACGTTCAATGACTGTACTCCCTTAGTCCCTTATTAGTAAATGGGAAGATTAGGACACCAATATTTATAAGAAAAAATATTAAAAACCGTATTTATTTAGAAAGACCAAATACTAAAATATAAATTTAAAATTATCTATTTGTCCTTAACAAAATCTCATATACTAACACTAACCATATCTTATAATTTTTTTAACGTAATAATTAAAGTTTATTCAAATTAATTCTTTTTTTTTGGTCAATTATTCAAATTAATTCAAACTAATTGGAATTACAAAGTTACATAACAATTCTAAATAATTAAATTTAATTCAATTAATAAGTAATACTAATTAATTTATTCGTCCATTATTTTCTTAAAAAAATGAAACTCCTATTTGAGATTCCTAAATAATGAGCCGATCAAAATCATATAGCTGAATGAAAAATTAAAAAAATGATATATTAATAGATAATATATAAATTATTCATAATTAATAAGAACAAAAAATATCATGTAGGTTTAAACATAAATTTTCTTACTCAAGCTATTATAAATACTTTTATTATGACAAATATTTATTAATATAATAAATTTCTTATGTCACTTTTTATTTTAAATTTTAAATTTTCTTAAGTTAGAGGATTCAACTTATTCAAATAAAATAATAGTACAAAATAGACAAGCAAAAATACGGAAATTTTTTTTTTGTAAATAGTAGAACTTTACTGCCCTGCTGATTTTTTCGAAAGCCTCGAAAAAATTATGAATTAAAAATAATGGAAAAATAAATTAGTCAGTGTTGGCCATTAATTTAATTAATTAGTATCAGTATCTGACTTTAAAATTTAAATTAGTTTGAATTAATTAGAATAAATTGTAATTATTCTACTAAATGATATGCAAATTATAGGAAGTGGTAAGAGAATATAGGGGGTTGTGGTGTGAATAAGGGTGATTTCAGTCTTTTTAAGTATATATTTTAATATTTGGTCCCTTTAAATAATTAAGGTTTTTAAGATCATTTCTAATAAATATCTTTTTCATCGGGCCTTTCTCTGTAATTTTTCCCTTATTAAATTTGTTCTAAAAATGACAAAATTATAGAATTTTCTTATTTTACTTTTGAAAACTGATAAAATTATACTTTTATTATTTCTCATCTTTTTTATATTTAATAATAGCATATTAATTATTTTGATAATGTCTTATATTTGGAGCTGCAATTTTTTTAATCACTCTCTTGTGTTATGCGGACTAGAGGGAATTCAATTCGTAGACGCAAATTACAAAAACACAGAATATTTCCATATATTACTTGAATTCATGTCATTGTTTGCATCAAACAATGTTTAAACACATCCGTTTTTGTGGGGTTTGGGGCGCATGCATGGACCCCAGATGGCCAGATCGACAAAACGTTAATTGGAAACAGACAATAGTACTGTTGAAAAAATCAATTGATACCGACAGGTGCTCTCTGGGTAGTCGAAGAGTGTCATGCAGGTCGCTGATTCACAATTAAAAGTCAATTATTGAAGCCCCTGACGTATCATTTCACTTATTAGGCAAAACACAAAAAGGGGAATTAAGATTTGTATGCATTATTGTCATCATAAGTCATAACACGCGCGCCCCCACCTGGAACTGAAATATAATGGGACGCTAATGTTATCGCTTAATTTAAGCATTTAATAATTAGACTCATTTAAGCCAGAACTGAGCTAGATCCTCTGTTCAATTACATCTAAGTCAGTCTAAGCCATTTAAATTAGCACGATACTTAAATAATATTATTTCTTTATATATCATAATGTCATCAAGCATCTAAACGGACCCTAGGCTACACATCAGCCAAGTGGAAAGAGAAAAAATCGGGACAGCTAGATTCGACATTAGCAACAATCATTAAGGCAGTCCATTTTTAAATCCATCCGATTTTCCCCCAGCCACGTCACCTCCTGACTTTTCTCCAGCCACATCACCTCCCTCGTAATCCATCCATTTCGCGTCCTCGCTTTATTTGCCCTTCTCAATCACAATCGATTGAATATATTGCACTTGTTCCAGCATTCCTTTTTTCTCATGATATTCATTTCCAGGTTATTTATTATTTTTAAAAAAACAATTTTCACCTCTCTCTCGTATATACAGGCAAATCAATCTTTGTTTTTTTTGGTTACCATCAAAATTCAATTATGAACCCAGTCAATCAGCCAATATAAAGGAGTATAGCACATGCATGACTCACTATTGAGGGAAAAAAATCAATAGGCCAGGAAATGCTGCCCCAAAAAAAAGGATATTTTTGTTATTGTCTTCCTCATTTTTTTAAGGAGAATTACTGTCCCAAGAAAAAAATAATTATTAGTATTCATTATTCTGAAACTTACCATCGCAGACTGCTTTGTTATGATTAGAACTGTTTAGTAATTATGTTTTTATTTATTTATTTAAGATTTCATACTCTTATGTCTATGTAAGGGTGTATGGATAAATGTTTGATCCGATATATATGGCCTAGATGAGGGGGTGTTTGTCTGACCTGAGAATTATTTTTAAAAAATAT